AGCAAATGTCAAAGTGGAAATGTAAACTTATTATCTGAGGAGATTGCTTGGTAGTGCTCTTAACTTGATTAATTTGCCTTTGCAGGTGATCTGGTACTGCTTGATGTATGTCCTCTTACACTTGGAATTGAAACTGTGGGAGGTGTCATGACCAAACTGATTCCAAGGAACACGGTGGTACCCACCAAGAAGTCTCAGATCTTTTCAACAGCTTCTGATAATCAGCCAACTGTTACAATCAAGGTCTATGAAGGTAATTACATTTGTTAATACCATAGTATGTTTTAAAAGAACATGACTTCTGACTTACAGTATAGTATGTATATAGTATTGCTAGGGAAAGTACTCACTCCACTTTTTAAAATGGGAGGGAGGGAGTGGTCCTTAATTTGATGAGTGTTAATTTATTTTTATGTTTTGCTATTCCTGGGGATTGAACTCAGGAGGCCTGGGCACTGTCCCTGAGCTTCTTCTTCAAGGCTAGCACTCTACCATGTGAGCCATATCACCACTTCTGGCTTTTTCTGTTTTATGTGGTACTGAGGAATTGAACGCAGGGCTTCTTGCATGATAGGCAAGAACTCTACTTACCGCTAAGCCACATTTCCAGCCCTAGTGTTGAATTTTAGAATCAGTATTTGTATAGCTTTTTAGTACTCTTTCCCATTGGCTTTGAAAATGTAAAAAAGGGGCCGGGCGCCAGTGGCTCACACCTGTAATCCCTACTCAGGAGGCTGAGATCTGAGGATCGCGATTCAAAGCCAGCCTGGGCAGGAAAGTCCATGAGACTTTGATCTCTAATAAAACCACAGAAAACCAGAAGCGGCACTGTAGTTCAAGTGGTAGAGCGCAAGCCTTGAGCTGAAGAGCTGAGGGACAGAGCCCAGGCCCAGTGTTCAGGCCCCACGACTGGACCACCACCCCCCCCCCCCCCCAAAAAAAAAAAAAAGGAGGGGGCTGGGAATGAGGCTTAGTGGTAGAGTGTCTGCCTAACATGCATGAAGCTCTGGGTTCAATTCCTCAGTACCACATGCATAGAAAGAGCCAGAAGTGGCAGTGTGGCTTAAGTGGTAGAGTGCTAGCCTTGAGCAAAAGAAGCTCAGGGACAATGCCAAGGCCTTGAGTTCAATCCCCAGGACTGGTTTTTTTGTTTTGTTTTGTTTTTAAAAGAAAGAACAAGGCAGTGATTTATAATGCTTTTAGTTAGTTCGAATTAAGAGTTAGTAATGGAACCTGGGCACTGGTGGCTCATGCCTGGAATCCTAGCTACTAAGGAGGCTGAGGATCACATTTCAAAGCCAGCAGGGCAAGAAAGTCTGTGAACTCCATGAAACCCTGGGCTGTATTCCTTAGTACCACATAAACAAAAAAGCCAAAAATGGCTTAAGTGGTAGAGTGCTAGCCTTGAGCAAAGGGAGCTCAAGGACAGTGGTTAGGCCCTGAGTTCAAGCCCCCAGTACTGGCCAAAAAATATATATGTATAACCCAGTTGCTGCCCCTTGTGTAGTCTGCAGTGTAGATCAGTACCGAATCACTTAGCTTGAAAAGGCTCTTAAACTGAAATGTAGGAGGCCTCCAGATATACTAATGCTTGTCAGTAACGAGTTTTTCTGTGTGTAACTTTCAGGTGAACGACCTTTGACAAAAGACAATCACCTTCTGGGTACATTTGATCTGACTGGAATTCCTCCTGCTCCCCGCGGGGTACCCCAGATTGAAGTCACCTTTGAAATAGATGTGAATGGTATTCTTCGGGTGACAGCTGAAGACAAGGGTACAGGGAACAAAAATAAGATCACAATTACCAATGACCAGAATCGCCTGACACCTGAAGAGATTGAAAGGATGGTTAATGATGCTGAGAAATTTGCTGAGGAAGACAAAAAGCTCAAGGAGCGCATTGATACTAGGAATGAGTTGGAAAGCTATGCATATTCTCTGAAGAATCAGATTGGAGATAAAGAAAAGCTGGGAGGTAAACTTTCCTCTGAAGATAAGGAAACCATGGAAAAAGCTGTAGAGGAAAAGATCGAATGGTTGGAAAGCCACCAAGATGCTGACATTGAAGACTTCAAAGCTAAAAAGAAGGAACTAGAAGAAATTGTTCAGCCAATAATTAGCAAACTCTATGGAAGTGCAGGCCCTCCCCCAACTGGTGAAGAGGATACAGCAGAAAAAGATGAATTGTAGGCACTGAGCTGCTAGGGTTGTAATATTGTAAATACTGGACTCAGGAACTTTCGTTAGGAGAAAATTGAGAGAACTTAAGTCTCGAATGTAATTGGAATCTTCACCTGAGAGTGGAGTTGAAAATGCTATAGCCCAAGTGGCTGTTTACTGCTTTTCATTAGCAGTTGCTCATATGTCTTGGGGTGGGGGAAAGGAGGAATTGGCTGTCCAAAAACTGGGTAAAAAAGTGGGGTCAGAGTGTGTTCACCTCAGAAATGTTCTATTTAACAGTTGGGTCATGCACATCTTGTGTAGGAACTTTTTTTCTACCATAAGTGACACCAATAAATGTTTGTTATTTACACTGGTCTAATTTTTGTGTAAAGCTTCTAATTAGAACAGCTGTTTTTTTTTTTGTTTTTTTTTGGGTCCCGTCGTGGGGCCTGAACTCTGGGCTTGGGCACTGTCCCTTAGCTCTTCAGCTCAAGGCTAGCGCTCTACCACTTGAGCCACAGCGCCACTTCCGGCTTTTTGCTTATGTGGTGCTGAGAATCGAACCCAGGGCCTCAGGCATGCAAGGCAAGCGCTTTACCACTGAGCCAACTTCCCAGCCCCAGAACAGCTGTTTTTAAAACAGTAAAATTTAAGATTCTGTTTGTTGGGGGTATTCAGTTGGAGGTTTTTGGGGGGGGCTGTTGGGTAGTCAGTATAGAGGATTTGTGTAACTTTAAGATGGCTGGGTGTCTCAGCCTCACACCTATAATCCTAGCTACTCAGGAGGCTGAGATGTAAGGCTTGCAGTTCAAAGCCCCGACTGGAATGTCTGAGACTCTTATATCCAGTTAAACACTCAAAAACCAGAAGTGGTACCAAGTGCTCATCTTGAGCTGAAGAGCAAAGGGACAGCACCCAGGCCCAGAGTTCAAACCCTATGACAGACAAAAAGGTGGAGGGAAGTTCAGTTTCTTTGAATATAATTGGAATTATGTTTCCCTTTCTACTTGGCTTTTTTTTTTTCCCTTTGGTGGTCCAGGATCTTCCACTTAGATGAGTTTAGTTCATAAATTTGAGAAGTCTACTTTTAACCACCCCAGCACCCTGGATACATCATTTCCTTCCATGAAATTTTTCAGTGAAACCATGGTAGGGTAGATGGTACCTTTGAAAGCGATACCTGTGAGGCCAGGGCAGCAGTTTGTGTCATGATTGGTTGAAATTGGCTTCTTGAAGAGCTGATCTAGCTAAGTAATTAGTATGATCAGTAAAAGTTGTTGTTTTTTTTTTTTTTTTTTTGGGTCCGGTCGTGGGGCCTGAACTCTGGGCCTAGGCACTGTCCTTCAGCTCTTCAGCTCAAGGCTAGCGCTCTACCACTTGAGTCACAGCGCCACTTCCGGGTTTTTTCTTTTTGCTTATGTGGTGCTGAGGAATTGAACCCAGGGCCTCAGGCATGCAAGGCAAGCGCTCTACCACTGAGCCAACTTCCCAGCCCTGATCAGTAAAAGTTTTAATGACTGGTGCTAATATAAAATCCAATACTAAGGACAGGAACTCTGTAGATGGACAACTGGCTCACAGACCTAACTTTGTTGCCAAGGCACTGCTTTAAAAATTGGGCAGGCCTGGAATATAATGTAGGTTAGCAGGCAAGCCTAATAAAATGTTAAAATGGCTTATGCTCTGGAGTTCCAGTGCTAGTGGATAATTAGGAAGAGGTCTTGGGCTGGGAAGTTGGCTCAGTGGTAGAGCGCTTGCTTTGCATGCATGAGGCCCTGGGTTCGATTCTTCAGCACCACATAAGCAAAAAGAAAAAAGCCGGAAGTGGCGCTGTGGCTCAAGTGGTAGGGCACTAGCCTTGAGCTGAAGAGCTGTGGGACAGTGCTCAGGCCCAGAGCTCAGGCCCCACAACCAGACCAAAAAAAAAAAAAGGTCTTAACATTCTTCTCTTCAAAAGCTATCAACAGTCTACCTCTGCTAAGAATAAGCTAATAATGGGGGCTGGGAAATTGGCTCAGTGGTTGAGTGCTTGCCTTGCATGCATGAGGCCCTGGGTTCCATTCCACAGCACCACTTTTGGCTTTTTCTGCTTATGTGGTGCTGTGACTCAAGTGGTAGAGTGCTAGCCTTGAGCTGAAGAGCTGAGGGACAGCACCCAGGCCGAGAGTTCAGGCCCCACGATGGACCAAAAAAAAAAAAAGGTAATATATTTTACTAGTGTCTAAGCTGCCAGTATAATTCTCCCACTCCCAGGCTATATATTTATCTGAAGTAGATAAGTTATATAGTGTGCAGAAAATACTGTAGAGGGCTGGGAATGGGGCTTAGTGATAGAGTGCTTGCCTAGCATGCATGAAGCCCTGGGTCCCATTCCTCAGTACCACACACACAGGAAAAGCTGGGAATGGTACTGTGGCTCAACTGGTAGAGTGCTAGCCTTGAGCAAAAGAAGCCCAGGGAGCCGGGCGCCAGTGGCTCACGCCTGTAATCCTAGCTACTCAGGAGGCTGAGATCTGAGGATCGTGGTTCAAAGCCAGCCCAGGCAGGAAAGTCTGTGAAACTCTCATCTCCAATAAACCACCAAAAAACCGGAAATGGCGCTATAGCTCAAGTGGTAGAGCGCTAGCCTTGAGCTGAAGAGCTGAGGGACAACACCCAAGCCCAGAGTTCAAGCCCCATGACCGACAAAAAAAAAAAAAAAAAAGAAGCTCAGGGACTGCCAAGGCCCTGAGTTCAAATCCCAGGACTGGCAAAAAAATAGTATCTATCTATTATATAATATATACATCGTAAAGGCAGAAAACAGTGGAAGTTTCACTTTTATGAAATAACAGGAATAATAAAAGTTGTGTATTTTATTAGTCAACTACAGTCACAAGACAATCATCGTAGATTTCCCCTTCTGTATTCATTCCACCAAACACAAAACAGAGCAGTGTGTCAGCCTGATTCTCTTGTGAGTCACCATCTTCGTTGTACACTCTTTTGTCAGTGGAATCCCCTTTCTCATCTTCAAAGTTTAGAGTGACAGAATTCAAGTTGTCTTTCTCAGAGGCAGATGTCACTGACCATGGAATGATGCACATGGAATGGTCCAATCGTCCAGCGGGTAGGAAAGTATCAAATTTAAGCAAGGTCCAGTGCTGCTTTTCTATGTACAGGGGGAAAGAACAAAGGCCTGATTTACTATATGAGCTGAGACACATTAAAAAGGAAAAAAAGGGCTGAGAATGTGGTTTAGTGGAAGAGTGCTTGCCTAGTATGCATGAAGCCCTGGGTTTGATTCCTCAGTACCACATACACTTAAAAAGCCAGAAATGGCACTGTGGCTCAAGTGGTAGTGCTAGTCTTGAGCAAAAGAAGTTCAGGGACAGTGCCCAGGCCCTGAGTTCAAGCCCCAGGACTGGGGGAAAAAAAAACAAGCCAGACACTGGTGGCTCATGCCTGTAATCCTGGCTCCTCAGGAGGCTAAGATCTGAGGATTCACAGTTCAAAGCCAGCCCGGGCAGAAAAGTCCATGAGACACTTATCTCCAATTAGCCTACAGAAAACTGGAAGTGGTGCTGTGGCTCAAATGATAGAGTGCTCTTCTTGAGCTGAAGAACTCAGGGACAGGCCCAGGCCCACAGTTCAAGCCCATGACTACAAAGTAAAAAAAAAAAAAAGAAAAAGAAAAAAAAAGTCACATTGTTAATGCTTTAATGACATTCTCTACAAGCTTAGTGTTTTCTTTCTTCGCAGCACCTGGGGCTTTTACTTATGGCTGGGATGCTGCCCCTGAGCTTTTTCACTTAAGGCTATCACTCTCCCATTTTGAGCCAATTCCACTTTTTTTTTTTTTTTTGATAAGTAGTATTTTATTTTTATTTTTTATTGTGAAAATACTGTACAGAGGGGTTACAATTACATGGGCAAGGTAATGAGTACATTTCTCTCTCTTTTTTTTTTTGGACCCGGTTGTGGGCCTGAACTCTGGGCCTGGGTGCTGTCCCTCAGCTCTTCAGCTCAAGGCTAGTGCTCTACCACTTGAGCCACAGCACCACTTCCGGCTTTTTTTTTTTCCTGCTTATGTGGTGCTGAGGAATCGAACCCAGGGCCTCAGGCATGCAAGGCAAGCGCTCTACCACTGAATCACCTTCCCAGTCCCGGTAATGAGTACATTTCTTATCAAGCATTGTTGCCTCCTCTTTTGTTTCCTCTTCCCATCCCTTCCCACCTTCCACCCCCACTCCCCACCCCCCAATTCCACTTTTATGGTGGTTAATTGGAGATAAGCGTCTCATGGACTTTCCTGCCGGGATGGCTTACAACTGCAATACTCAGATCTCAGCCTTCTGAGTAAGTAGGATTACAGGCATGAGCTACCAGCAGCTTGCCTTAGTTTTCTTAAGATTTAGACACAGTTACCAACTTGAGAAAGGAAAGCACAATGTTATTTTTCTAAGTGTTTCTATTTGATGAAAGACTGGAGTGACACCTGCTCACCTGTGTGATACTGGTACATGGTGTCCAGTGCGCCAGCAGGAGTCATTCCTCCGAAGACATACACATGCTTTCCCACAGCCACAGCTGAGTGGGCAGCACAGCCTGCTGGAGCAGCCCCTGTGGGACTAAGCTGCTGCCACTTCATGTCACCTGCCAGACAGAGATTTGGCACAATATGGGCTAATAAATGGTTTCCAACTCTACTGTTGTTTGCAAACCAATTACTGGAGGTGACCCCTAAGAACGCTTTGAGGTAATGGAGCCAAATGTAATATGTAATATGGGGAAAGGAGCTCAGTGGTCTATAGCTGTGACAAGAATCACAGGGGAGCACAGCGCCAGTGGTTCACATCTGTAATCCTAGCTACTCAGGAGGCTGAGATCTGAGGATCATAGTTCGAAGCTAACCCAGACACTCTTTTTTTATTTTTTATTTTTTTTTTTATTTTTTATTTTTGCTTATGTGGTGCTGAGGAATCGAACCCAGGGCCTCTGGCATGCAAGGCAAGCGCTCTACCACTGAGCCAACTTCCCAGCCCCAACCCAGACACTCTTATTTCGGATTAATCACCAAAAAGCTAGAAGTGGAGCTGTGGTCAAAGTATTAGACTGTGTGTGTGCATGCACAGTCACAGACACACACACACAAACACAGACACACACAATCACAGACACACAGACACACACACACACATAAAAGAATCTCAGGGGATTCTGATGGAGGTGCTCTTTGGAGCACGCTGAGAAATGTGATACAACCTTTTAAAAATTCACAGTTAAGGGGGCTGGGAAGGTGGCTCAGTGGTAGAGCATTTGCCTTGCATACCTGAGGCCCTGGGTTCAATTCCTCAATACCACATAAGCAAAAAAAAAAAGCCAGAAGTGGTGCTGGGCTCAAGTGGTAGAGCGCTAGCCTTGAGCTGAAGAACTGAGGGACAGTGCCCAGGCCCAGAGTTCAAGCCCCACGACCGGACCAAAAAAAAAAAAAACATTCACAGTTAACTGTGCAGAAAGCAGGTAATGTTTTGTATGTACATATGTACACATAACTATGTTTTAATTACAATTCTGGGTGTCTGTGTGGGGAGGGGTTGAGAATATATGTTTCTGTGTGTTATGTGCTGGTCCTGGGGCTTGAACTCAGGGCCTGGGTACTGTCCCTGAGAGTTTGTGCTCAAGGCTAGTGCTCTACCACAGCTCCATTTCTGGCTTTTTGGTGGTTAATTGTAGTCTTGCAGACTTTCCTGCTTGAGCTGGCTTCAAACCGTGATCCTAAGATCTCAGCTTTCTGAGTACCTAGAATTACAGTCGTGAACCACTGGTGTCCAGCTCTTAATGCAATTATTATTATGATTATTTTTTGCCAGTCCTGGGGCTTGGGGACTGTCCCTGAGGGCTTCTTTGGCTCATGGCTCTCTACCACTTGAGACACAGCGCCACTTCTGGCCTTTTCTGTTTATATGGTACTGAGGAATTGAACCCAGAGCTTCATGCATGCTAGGCAAGTATTCTACCACTAAGCCACACTCCTAGCCCCTCTTAATACAATTCTTTAGAAACTTTGAAAGTGCTAGCTAAACACTTCAAAATTTAACAAATCTTATTGAATAGTCATGGCAGCCCTGTGAATTGCTATTACATCTGTTTACCCTTCTTCTTACAGATGAGCATACAAGATAAGAAAAGGAAGAGGCTTGCATTAGACCACCACTACTTGTATGAACTAGACATATACTTAGAGCATCAAAAGGAGCCTCTGATCTAGGGGTGTGGCTCAAGTAGTAGAGTGCCACCCTAGCAAATAAGACCCCAGTTCCACTTAGGAAAAAAAAGAGAAAAAACCAGCAGCAACAGCAAAACTTATGTTCTCTTTACTGCAACTTGCTGCTTTAGCACCTACTGCCATGTTCATGTTTTTTTCCAAACAGGCACTGAAATAAGGTAAACTAGCACTAGATTTTAGGTTTATAGGATACTTTGGGTAGTCAGGACAAAAAAGAAGTAAAAAGAATAAAGAACCCTATTTTTGCCAGGTGGCGATGGCTCACACTTGTAATCCTAGCTACGCAGGAGACTGAGATCTGAGTATCAAGGTTCAAAGCCAGCCTGGGCAGGAAAGTCTGTGAGACTCTTATCTCCAATTAACCACCAGAAAACCGGAAGTAGAGCTGTCACTCAAAGTGGTAGAGCCCTCACCTTGAGTATACACACAAAAAAGTTCAGGGCCAGTACCTGGGCCCTGAGTTTAAGCTCCAGTTCTCTCTCTCTCTCTCTCTCTCTCTCTCTCTCTCTCTCTGGGCCCTGAGTTTAAGCTCCAGGTCTCGGTCTCGGTCGCTCTCTCTCTCTCTCTCTCACACACACACACAAAACCATCTGTGCTGTGCATCAGAAACTCATGTCTGTAATCCTGTCTACTCAGCTGGCTGAGATTTGAGGACTGCGGTTCAAAGCCAACCTAGGCAGGAGAGTCTAGGAGACTATTATCTCCACTTAACCACCAAAAAGTCAAGAGTAAAGCTGTGCCTCAAAAGGTAGAGTACTAGCTTTGAGAAAAGGAAGCTCAGGGACAGGCCCTGAGGGACTGGCACCAAACCCCCCCCCCCAAAAAAAGAAAGAAAGAAAGAAAGAAAAACAGAAAACCAATTTGAAGTGTGGTAGTTTCATCCCTGTAATCTTAGCATTGAGGAGGGTTAAGTCCAGTCAACCTGGCCAGTTTGGCCAAAATTCTGCCCAATGTAGAAATCTCAGTCAGTGTCCCTTCAATTCAGAGAAGTAGAACTTGGTAAAATTCCCAAATACTCTGCATAGGAGTTCCATGTCTCTGCACTTCCTGTAGTCTGGAGTAATACAGAAGCTGTACATTTATGAACAGATATGTGCTCACTCAGTATTTGCCAGATACTATGTATGCTAAGTGCTGGAAATATCCTGGCAAATGAGAAGAAGCCCTTTTCCTAGTGAAGTTCCAACCTGAAGAAATGACCCAGAAAGAGTCTAGATTCTTCAGGGCTCCTCAAGCTCTTCAGATACTTTCCTCTTCCCAGGGTTTTCAACCACTTAGCCTGACCAGAATGTAATTCTGCTCATTCTACTCCACATGTATAACCTGGAGATAGTCCTATCTGCATGGGAGTAATGGCTATTGCCTAAAAGAACTCCAGTAAGGGAACACAAAGCATAATCAATTAATGAAAAGAGTAGGAATGTGGCAGGGTAAGAGATAATAAAGTCCTAAATACATGAGGTGCCAGGAAATGACTACATTTATTGTCATTATTACCTGTTACTATGCACATCACATTGGACAGTATCTAGTGAGGGTTTTGCCAGCTGGTCAAATACACAAGAAAAAAGCTGTACTTTTTTAAAGCACATTAGAAATTTTTTTTTGAACATCTAAGACACTGTGCCCTCTACCCTACTTACTTATATCAATGCAATGAAGATCATCAAAGAATTTGTCCCCTGCCAAGCCTCCATGGATAAAGAGCTGTGTCCCTGCTGCCACCATCACATGACCATGCCGGGGAGATGGAGGATTTCCAAGTGTTTCTGGCTGGAACCAAGTCTGAGTATCTGCAAGAGCAAATTCATTGACATTAAGTGGCAAAGCTACAAAGCAAGAACAAGAGAAGTGTACCCAAGCCTCATTATCACCTCCCAGCATGCAGAGATGATGCAAGCTGCCAGGCAGATCTCCCTCCCTCCCTTTACATACAGGCTAGACAGTTTCAGGGCAGGAGGGCCCACTATCTACCCATGCCAGCTTAGGTATTGGAAAGCCATTTCTTTTTTCTCTTTTATTTTTTGGTGTGTGTGTGTGTGAGGTAAGGTTGGAGCTTAAACTCAGGGTCTGATATCTGTGTCTTACCTTTTTTACTCAAGGATGGTACTTAAGCTACATTTCTATTTCTGCTAGTCCTAGAATTTGAACTTAGGGCTTGAGTGATGTCCCTGAGCTTTTTTTGCTCAAAGCTAGTGCTCTACTACTTCAGCCACAGCTCCACTTCCAGCTTTTTTTGGTCAGTCTTGGGGATTGAACTCTGGGCCTGGTGCTGTCTCTGAGCTGAAGAGCTCTACCATTTGAACTACAGTGCCACTTCTGGTGTTCCAGTGGTTAATTGGAGATAAGAGTCTCACAGACTTTCCTGCCTGGGCTGGCTTTAAACTGTGATTCTCAGATCTCAGTCTCCTGAGTAGCTAGGATTACTGATGTGAGCCACCAGTGCCTGGCACTTGCAGCCTTTTTTTTTGGGGGGGGGGGCGGTCATGGGGTTTAAACTCTAAACCTGGGTGCTGTCCCTGAGCTCTTCAGCTCAAGCTAGTGCTCTATCATTTGAGCCACAGCACCACTTTTGGTTTTCTGGTGGTTTATTAGATATAAGAGTCTCCTGTACTTTCCTCCTCAGGCTGGCTTTGAATGGTGATCCTCAAATCTCAGCCTCTCAGTAGCTAGGATTACAGGTGTGAGCCACCATCTGCAAGCCACTTTCAGCTTTTTTGAAGATAAAATTCTCAAGAACTTTCATGCCTGAGCTGGCTATAAACCACAATCCCCAGTTCTCGGTACCCTGAGTAGCTAGGATTACAGATGTGAGCCACCAGTGCCCAGCTGTTCAAAGTTTTTTTTTTTTTTTTTTTTTGGTCAGTCGTGGGTCTTGAACTCTGGGCCTGAGCACTGTCCCTCAGCTTTTCAGCTCAATGCTAGTGCTCTACCACTTGAGCTATAGTGTCACTTCTGGTTTTCTGGTGGTTTATTGGAGATGAGTTTCACGGACTTTCCTGCCTGGGCTGGCTTTGGACCATGATCCTCAATCCTCGGATCTCAGCCTCCTGAGTAGCTAGGATTATAGGCATGAGCCACCAACACTGGCCTGTTCAAAGTTTTTAAATGGATCATTTATGACTTTTCAAATGCAAATATTGCTCTGGTGAGATTACATTAGCTTTCTTTGCCAAAGAGGACTAGAAATGAGACACTCTTCAGTGTTTTCTTTCTTTTTTTGGTTGGTCGTGGATCTTGAACTCTGGGCCTGGGCCCTGTCCCTTAGCTCTTCAGCTCAAGAATAACGCTCTACCACTTGAGCTACAGCATTACTTCTGGCTTTTTCTGTTTATGTGGTGCTGAGGATCGAACCCAGGGCCTCATGTAAGGGAGGCAAGCATTCTAGCACTTCCCAGCCATTCAGTGTCATTTTCTAATCTTTGCTTCCTTACACTAGGGAAATAGTGGGCCAAGGAGGCCCTGACCAGGTATGTGGCAATCCAAGTGCACTTCAGTTCATACTTGCGTCAAACACATGTAGCTTCATATCCTGAACAGGCTGGGCGCCCCTTTCACCGCCCCCAAAGACATACAGCTTGTTCCCAATAGCTGCTGTTGATGTGTGGAATGTTCTTGGACATGGTGGGGAGTTGGTCACTTCTGGTGTGGTCCATGCCCTGGTTTCTGGTCCAGAGAGAAAAAAGGCATGTGAAATACCTGTGCTGAGAGGCCTCAGACTTTTTATTATTTTATTATTATTATTATTTTAGACAGGCAGGCCTTGAACTCTTGAGCTTCCTGTTGCATTCTCCAGTGTGCCACTATACCAAGATCTGAGCTTGTCTCTTGATGGAACATGGAATGATCACCTTCCTACCCTAATTCTTTTTGTTGTTGTTGTTTTGCAGGTATACTAAGGCTTGAAGTCAGGGCTTGGATTCTGTCCCTGAGCTTTTTTTGCTCAACACTAGTGCTCTACCACTTGAGCCCCATTGCCACTTCACCTTTTTCTGAGTAGTTTAAATAAGAGTCTCACAGACTTTCTGCCTGGGGTGGCTTTGAACTGTGATCCTCATATCTCAGCTTCCTGAGTAGCTAGGATTATAAGCATGAGCTACCGGTACCTGGCTTCCTACTCTAATTCTTTTTTTTTTTTGGTCTGGGCCTGATCTCTGGGCCTGGGCACTGTCCCTCAGCTAGAGCTCTACCACTTGTGCCACCGTGCCACTTCCGGCTTTTTTTTTCCTGCTTATGTGGTGCTGAGGAATTGAACCCAGGGCCTCAAGCATGCAAGGCAAGCGCTCTACCACTGAATCATCTTCCCAGCCCCCTAGCCTAATTCTTGATGATGATAGAATAGTTTTAGGCAGGGAAGAAAAAGGATGATATTTAGAATTTCCTTAGATAGACCAAAATTCAGGACTAAAAAGTCATAAAATACAATTAAGAATGAGGTCAACTGGGTATTGGTGGCTCATTCCTCTAATCCTAGCTACTCAGGAGGCTGAGATTTGAGGATTGAGGTCTGAAGCTAGCCTGAGGAGAAAAGTATATGAGACTCTTATCTCCAATTAACCAGCAGAAAAACTGGAAGTGGAGGAATGACTCAAGTGGTAGAATGCCAACAATGAATGAAAAAGCCAAATATTAGTTTATTCTTTTTTAGAGAAAATAAAGTTGAAATAGACTGTTACTTGTTTATATGATATAGCTAATAAATGGCTAAGTTGGTATTTGAACTCTTTCAGTAACACTAAGGTATCAATATTTTCTTTCTTTCTTTCTTTTTTTTTTTTTGTCGGTCGTGGGGCTTGAACTCTGGGCCTGAGCGCTGTCCCTCAGCTCTTCAGCTTAAGGCGAGCGCTCTACCATTGAGCTACAGCGCTACTTCCGGTTTTCTGGTGGTTTATTGGAGATAGGAGTCTCACGGTCTTTCCTGCCCGGGCTGGCTTTGAACCAAGATGCTCAGATCTCAGCCTCCTGAGTAGCTAGGATTACAGGATTACAGGCGTGAGCCACCAGCGCCCAGCGGTATCAATATTTTCTACTCCTTTTTTTTTTTAAGACCTAAGGACTTGAACTTGGTACCTGGTGCTTTTGCTCATTGGCTAGCACTCTACTAACGGCGCCATACCACTAATTCCTCTACTCTTCTAATTTAAGAATAAAAGCGAGGCTGGGCATTGGTGGCTCATGCCTGAAATCTTAGCTACTCAGGAGGCTGAGATCTGAGGATCACAGTTCAGAGCCAGCCAGGGCAGGAAAGTCCGTGAGACTCTTTATCTCCAACAAACCACCAGAAAACCTGAAGTGGTGCTGTGGCTCAAGTGGTAGAGTGCTTGCCTTGAGCAGAAAAGCTCAGGGACAGCACCCAGGCACAGAGTTCAATCCCCCCACGACTGACAAAAAAAAAAAAAAGAGAGAGAGAATAAAAGTGGGCCTGGGAATGTGGCTTAGATAGATAAATAAATAAAAGCTTATTATCCAGGAGAGGTATAGTAGCTTCTTTCCTTTTAGAATAAAAAATGAATTTTATAGTAACAGATGGATTGGACACATTCTTCGTGCAGAATGATTGGCCTGAGCACTCTTCCATGCCCACTTTCTCACTCAGCCCTAAGAAAATACCCACATTTTTCAAATGAGAAAAAATGAACCTCAGAAGCTTTAAATCCCATCTCCAGATCAGAAATCATATGAGCAGCTGTGCAGGTGGTTTGGAATAGCATCCATCAGAGTCCCTCCCATACTTGCTCCACCATAACACACCAATTATTATTATTTTTTTGGGTCCGGTCGTGGGGCCTGAACTCTGAGCCTAGGTGCTGTCCCTCAGCTCTTCAGCTCAAGGCTAGCACTCTACCATTTGAGCCACAGCACCACTTCTGGCTTTTTTCTTTTTGCTTATGTGGTGCTGAGGAATCGAACCCAGGGCTCATGCATGCAAGGCAAGCGCTCTACCACTGAGCCACCTTCCCAGCCCACCAAGTATTATTTTTTTGCCTGAGAAACTCAGTGTTTTTGGTTAAATGTCTGCATTTAACATACAAAATATTGTATTAAGCATCCATTATATGTTTAATCATGAATCTGGAGACAGAGCAAGTCTCATGCCCATACCCAAAGCACAATGTAGCTATAGCTACAATGAATCTTAGAAGCACTTAGGCACACAGTCAAGCATCAGAACAAATAATCAATAAGGAATCCAGCAGGGCACTGGTGGCTCACACCTGTAATACTAGCTACTGTAATACTAGCTACTCAGGAGGCTGAGATCTAAAGATCATAATTCAAAGAGAGCCCAGGCAGGAACATCCATGAGACTCTTATCTCCAATTAACCACCAGAAACTGGAAGTGACACTGTGACTCAAGTGGTAGAGTGCTAGCCTTGAGCTGAAGAGTTGAGGGGCAGCATCCAGGCCCAGAGTTCAAGCCCCATGACTGACAAAAAAAAAGAAAGAAGAAAAAAAGGAAAAAAATTAACAAGGAAGCCAGGCACCAGTGGCTCACGCCTATAATCCTAGCTACTCAGGAGACTGAAATCTGAGAATTGCAGTTCAAAGTCAGCCTGAGCAAGAAAGTCCATGAGACTCCAATAAACCACTCAGAAAACTGGAAGTGGTGGTGTGGCTCAACTGTTGGAGTGCTCTCTTTGAGGTAAAGAGCTGTGGGACAATGCCCAGGCTCAGAGTTCAAGCCGCATGACCGAAAAAACAAAATTAACAAGGAATACTCATTTACTTGACTTATGCAACTGTAACACCTATGTACATCACCTTTATAATAACAGTAAAATTAAAAATTAAAAAAAAATTTGGGGGCCGGGCGCTGGTGGCTCACGCCTGTAATCCTAGCTACTCAGGAGGCTGAGATCTGAGGATCGCGGTTCAAAGCCAGCCCGGGCAGGAGAGACGGTGAGACTCCTATCTCCAATTAACCACCAGAAAACTGGAAGTGGTGCTGTAGCTCAAGTGGTAGAGCGCTCGCCTTGAGCTGAAGAGCTGAGGGACAGCGCCCAGGCCCAGAGTTCAAGCCCCACGACCGACAAAAAAAAAAAAAAAAAAAAAAATTTGGGCCAGGCGCTGGTGGCTCATGCCTATAATCCTAGCTACTCAGGAGACTGAGATCTGAGTATCACAGTTCAAAGCCAGCCTGGGCAAGGAAAGTCTGTGAGACTCTTATCTCCAATAAACTACTAGAAAACTGGAAGTGGCGCCGTGGCTCAAGCAGTAGAGCATTCATCTTGAGCTGAAGAGTTGAGGGACAGCATCCAGAGTTCAAGCCCCAAGACGTACCAAAAAAAAAAAAAAGAGTCCCAAAGACTTTCCTGCCTGAGCTAGCTTTCAACTGTAGTCTTCATATTTCAGCCTCCTGAGAAACTAGGATCACAGTTGTGGGCCACCAATGTTCTAAACAAAGATGTTCATCACTTAAGTTTTTTTTTTGGGGGGGGGGTGAATAGTAGGGGGCTTGAACTCAGGGCCTAGGCACTGTCCCTGAGCACTTTGGCTCAAGGCTAGCACTCTACCACTTTGAGCTACAGTGCCACTTCCAGTTTTTGAATGGTTTACTGTATATAAGAGTCTCATGGGGAAGTGGCGCTGTAGCTCAAGTGGTAGAGCGCTCGCCTTGAGCTGTAGAGCTGAGGGACAGCGCCCAGGCCCAGAGTTCAAGCCCCACGACCGACAAAAAAATAAATAAATTAAATAAATAAATAAATAAATAAATAGTCTCATGGACTCTTCTGCCCCGGCTGGCTTCAAACCAGAATCTTCAGATCTCAGTCTCCTTAGTAGCTAGGAATACAGGCATGAGCTACAGGCACCTGGCTCACTTTGTTCTTTATAATGAAAAAAGCTAAAAAAAACTTGTAAAAATGTTCAAATAGGGCTGGGAAGGTGGTTCAGTGGTAAAGTGATTGCCTTGCATGCATGAGGCCCAGGGTGCGATTCCTCAGCACCACATAAGCAGAAAAAAGCTGGAAATGGCACTGTGGCTCAAGTGGTAGGGCTCTAGCCTTGAGCTGAAGAGCTGAGGGACAGCACCCAGGCCAGAGTTCAGCCTTCAAAACCAACCAAAAAAAAAAAAAAAGAATTTCAAATACAGGAGAATTATGATAGTGCAATGTTTTTTTTTTTGCTGTTGTTGTTTTTTTTGTCAGTCATGGGGCTTGAACTCTGGGCTTGGGCGCTGTCCCTGCGCTCTTCAGCTCAAGGTGAGCGCTCTACCTCTTGAGCCACAGTGACACTTACAGTTTTCCAGTGATTCATTGGAGATAAGAGTCTCACAGAGTTTCCTGCCTGGGCTGGCTTTGAACCGCGATCCTCAGATCTCAGCCTCCTGAGTAGCTAGGATTACAGGCGCCTGGCTTAGTGCAATGTTCTGTACTAATGAAAACATTGACAAAGGGGCTGGGAAGGTGGCTCAGTGGTAGAGCACTTGCCTTGCATGCCTGAGCCCTGGGTTCGATTCCTCAGCACCACATAAGCAAAAAGAAAAAAGCCGGAAATGGCGCTGTGGCTCAAGTGGTAGAGCACTAGCCTTGAGCTGAAGAGCTGAGGGACAGTGTCCAGGCCCAGAGTTCAGGCTCCATGACCGGACCCCCCTCAAAAAAAAAAAAAAAAAAAAAAAAAGAAAACATTGACAAAGTCCTAGGTTCTGGTATCTCACACCTGTAATCCTAAATATTCAGAAGGTTGAGATCTGGAGGATCCGGTTCAAAGCCACCTCAGGCATTAAAGTGTACAATTAACCAGCAAAATTTACCACTGAAGGTATGGTTCAAGTGGTAGAGCACCAGCAGTAAGCACAAAGCCCAGAGTTCAAGGCAGGGTACCAACATACACTCCTCCCATATACAAAATGTTGAAGAATTGTTGTTAAAACAAAATTACTTATGCAGTGGTTAGTAAAAGCAGATATAAAAGTAGGTATCTAATATGATCTTGTGTCTATAATACTGCACAGAAAAAACAGGGAAAGCAGTATATTAGTCCTCTCTACAAGGGATATGCTCCAAGACTCCTAATGGATATCTATATGTATATTACATACAAGTACATATATATTATATATAGCAGATACATATATACCTGGTACATGCACACACATACATGTATATAGCATATATAATGGTTTTTTCCTATATATACTTATCTGTGATGAAGTCTGACCTATCAATCAGACACTAAGAAATTATCTATAATAATTCACAATAAAAGTTTCTAAAGGGCTGGGAATGTGGCTTAGTGGAAGAATGCCTGCTTAGAATGCATGAAGCCCTGGGTTTGATTCCTCAGTAACACACATAAACAGAAAAAGCTGAAAGTGGTGCTATGGCTAATGTGGTAGAGTGCCAGCCTTGAGCAAAAGAAGCTCAGAAACAGTGCCCAGGCCCTGAGTTCAAGCCCCAAGACTGGCTAAAAAACAGTTATCTAGCCAGGTGCCTGTGGTTCACGCCTGTAATCTTAGTTACTCAGGAGACTGAGATCTGAGGATCATGGTTCAAAGCCAGCCTGTGCAGGAAAGTATGTGACACTCATATCTCCAATAAACCACTAGAAAATGGGAAGTGGCACTGTGGCTCAAGCAGTAGAGCACACGCCTTGAGCTGAAGAGCTGTGGGACAGTACCGAGGCCCAGAGTTCAAGCCCCTGCAACCAACAACAACAAAAAAAGTTATCTAAAACTTAAAAACTGTTCATTTCTGAAATTTGTTCATTTGTTGCTTTGTATTTTTCAGTACTGTGGATGTTAATCAGGGCTTTGTGTATGCCAGGCAGGTATGGAATTTTCCACTTAATATTTTTGGAATCACTAAGTTAGGTAACTGAAGCCAGAGAAAGGTAACCAATAAGAAGGACTGCTGAAAAGCTGAAGTAGAATGTGTGGTTTTTGCAAATGCTTTAACAGCTGATAAAAATTTACATTTGTAAAATTAATATATTGTACTGGTACAAAACAGTTTTAAATTATATTTTGAGAGGCTCCACCCCTCTCCTCCCCAAAAAAAGGACTGCTGAGCAGGGGGCCGGTGGCTCACGCCTGTAATCCTAGCTACTCAGGAGGCTGAGATCTGAGCATCTCGGTTCAAAGCCAGCCCGGGTAGGAAAGTCCGTGAGACTCTTATCTCCAATAAACCACTAGAAAACCCGAAGTGGCGCTGTAGCTCAAGTGGTAGAGCACTCACCTTGAGCTGAAGAGCGTAGGGACAGCGTCCAGGCCCAGAGTTCAAGCCCCACGACCAACCAAAAAAAAAAGGAGGACTGCTGAACACAGAAATATTACTAACAGGGCTGGGAAGGTAGCTCAGTGGTAGAGCGCTTGCCTTGCATGCATGAGGCCCTGGGTTCGATTCCTCAGCACCACATAAGCAGAACAAAATTTAAAAAAAGCCGGAAGTGGCGCTGTGGCTCAAGTGGTAGAGTGCTAGCCTTGAGCTGAAGAGCTGAAGGACAATGCCCAGGCCCAGAGTTCAGGCCCCACGACCAGATCCAAAAAAAGAAATATTACTAACAGCATTTATATAACAAGATTATGGATGCCATTCGAGCACTTCCTAAGACTTTTTTTTTTGTTCTGGTGGGGTTCAAACTCAGGGTCTATGCCCTGTCCCCGAGTCTCTTTTGCTAAAGGCTAGCATTTGATAACTTGAGACACAGCTCCACTGTGTTTTTCTTTTTCTTTTTGTTTTTTTAGTTTAGTGGTGATAAGAATCTCACAGAAATCCCTTCTTGGTCTGGCTTTGAACTACAATCCTCAAATCTCATCCTCCTTAGTTGCTAGAATTGCAGGTGTGAGCCACTGGCCCCTGCAAATATTTCACAATGAATGTAAATGATTTTTTAAAAGAACAGATTAAGGTTTCAAAAAGAACAAAAGGAAAGTCTACCTCCCTAAGGAAGTTCAGCCACCTCCTTCCAGGTGTGATGTTTCAATGTACTTCCCCTACGCTAAACCTGACAGTCAGGAACTTGGCACTCATGGCTAAATGAAACATTCTGAGAGGGAGAGGGTCTATGTAGAGATCTCTTAACTTTCACATTACTGACATTTATATGAGATAACTTTATTGTGGGGCTGTCCTAAGCAACCAGGACATATAGTAGCATCTCTGGCCTTCACTTGTTAGATGTCAGTAGTAATGCTAGTCCCAGCCAGGTGCAATAGGTCAAAAGGTTTTCAGACAAGGCCTGGTGTCTAGTGTGGGCATAACAAGCCCCACTGGAGAACCACTGACCTAGATGACCTGGCTTCTAGCTAGGCTTAGTCATTGACTCTTTGGTGACTGTAGGAAAGCCACATCCCCCTATAGGCCCGAGCAGACCACATGGCATAGCTGTTCCTTTCTTCCAGCTTTGTCATTCAAGCAGGGGATAAATTCCTAGTTCTCTGAAGCCAGCAAAATAAAGTTATTTCAATCTAAATGTGCTGCAATTATTACTGAGTGTGTGAATGATGAAAATTAAATAACCTTTGGCTCCTTACCAGGATTCAGAACTTGGAGACAATTTCGATTTCCTGACTGGTCGGCGCCTCCAAAAATCCAGATGCTGTCAGGTGTGCAGGAAGGAATGAAGCTGGCATGCTCATACCGGGGCAAGAGGCCTTCCCATGTGGCTAAATCCCACTGGTGTGTTTCTAGAAAACATTTCACCTAGTCATTACATTGGGGGCTACCAACTGCTTGCCTTGATTGACAAATTTAGAGAAAGGAGTGAAAATAAGGCCAAAAACGAAACATTAGTCTCTTGAAAGAAATGTTGTCAACCTCCTTGAAATTCCATAGTAGACACTTTGGGACTGTCTGCCTAGCCCATGAAACTTCTTCTAGGGAAGCTATCCCCATTCTCTAAGCATACTGGCAGAGCCCAGTTGACATGTTTGTATAACATCACTACTTTTTAGCTTTAGCTGATAGGGTCACAGGTAGCCACCTGACCTAAAATGGGCCATTGGATTTACTGTTTCTGCTCTCTTCTGAGGCTAAGCAGTATTTCTTTTCTCCTTTTAAAATTTATTTTTATGTCTACAGAAAATAGAGAAGAGCTACAATTGTAGAAGGGAGTTATAAGCTATCATGCTCATTTATGTGTACATTGCTTTTTTTTTTTGGCCAATCCTGGGGCTTGCCCTAAGGGCCTGGGTGCTGTCTCTGAGCCTCTTTATGCTCAAAGCTAGCACTGTACCACTGAAGCCATAGTGCCACTTCTGGCTTTTTCTGAGCTGTTTATTGGAGATAAGAGTCTCAGGGACAAGCCGGGCGCTGGTGGCTCACGCCTGTAATCCTAGCTACTCAGGAGGCTGAGATCTGAGGATCGCGGTTCAAAGCCAGCCCGGGCAGGAAAGACCGTGAGACTCCTATCTCCAATAAACCACCACAAAACCGGAATTGGCGCTGTAGCTCAAGTGGTAGAGTGCTTGCCTTGAGCTGAAGAGCTGAGGGACAGTGCCCAGGCCCAGAGTTCAAGCCCCAGGACCAATAAAAAAAAAAAAAAAAAGAGTCTCAGGGACTTTCTTGCCCTGGGCTGGCTTTGAACTGTGATCCTCAGATATCAGCCTCCTGAGTAGCTAGGGTTACAGGTATGAGCCACTGGCACCTGGTGTACAGTACACTTTTGATCATCATCCTTTCTATCATGTTCCCTCATCCTCCTAGGCTCCATTTCTTACCTTTGGATTCTGCAAAACATCTCCAGTACCTACATAAGAAAATCTCACTCAGCTAGCTAATCAAAAGGCTGAGGTCTAAGATTTGTGGTTTGAAGCCAGCTTGTGCAAGAAAGACTGTGAGACTCTTATCTCCAGTTAACCACCAAAAAAGCTGAAAGTTAACAATCCTTATTTTAGCTAGCAACACGTCTACTGGCCTATGTATTTTGGGGAAAAATACTATACATTGAAAAAAGTAACTATAATTAATAGATTACTACTTAAAAACCATAGGTAGGCCAAACACTGGTGGCTCAGGAGGTTGAGATGAGGATTGTGGCTTGAAGCCAGGTGGGGCAAGAAAATTCTTGACTTTTTTTTTTTTTTTTTTCTGCTTCTGGAGCTTAAACTCAGGGATTGGGTGCTGTCCCTGAGCTTCTTTGTGCTCAAGGCTAATGCTCTACCACTTGCCACAATGCCTATTTTCTCGGAGTAGTTTATTGGAGATAAGTGTCTTACAGGGACTTTTCTGCCTAGGCTGGCTTTGAACCTTGATTCTCAGATGTCAGTCTTCTGAGTAGGGAGGATTACAGTGTGAGCCACCCCTTTTGATACTCTTATCTCCAATTAACCACCAGAAAATTGGAAGTGGAGCTGGGGCTCAAAGCGGTAGAGGACTAGCCTTAAGCAGAAAAGCTCTGGGACAGCACATAGGCCTTGAATTTAAGCCTCATGACCCCCCCCCCAAAAAAAAAAAAAAAAAGAATTTCATTAGATTGTGAACTTACTTGAGGACTGGAGGAGATTCACTGACACTTGATTGCCTAGTTTAGGGAGCAGTGATCCAAATGTCTAGAGAAGAGTAGCAGGGACTACAAGAACTTAAGGGAAAAAGAGCCCCCACAAATAGCAGCCCCAGCTCCATAACATTGTTGCCATGTAGACAGGCAGACCTACTGATGTCAGACTTTTCAAAATTATCCTAAGAAGTCTAAACATTTCTATTTTTGTATGCAGACACCTGCATACTTTGTGTATAAACAAGACTGAAACAACAGCAATGTTATATGGACCTGGGCAAACATGTATATGATTCATCAGTTTTCAACTTCCATCCCTGTGTACATAGTAGTTATTTGTCATTGAAACACTCATAAAATACTTGTTCTGTGCTAGGTGCTCTGGGATTGACATAATGATGAGGAAAATAACCATATTACCTATCTCCAAGGAGCCTGTTTTCTCTTGGGGAAGACAGATTAAAAAAAAAAATCTTGTATGTCAAGGGCTGTAAGGTGGTGGATGGGAGAATATGTGCTATTATGGACATTAGAGGAGTTAGTGCCTAAACTAGACTATAGGTATCAAGAAAAGGCTCTTCAGGTAGAAAGGGACTTTTAATTTGGGATCTGCAGGCTTTTAATTTGGGATCTGTGGTAAGGAAGAAGAAATACTTTCCAAGGAGAGGAAACACTGTGTGCCATGACTAGTAGGGTAGAACTCAAAATGTGTCCAAAGACCTGAAGTTCTATTCAGTACAGCAATGGTGGGTTGAGGAGAACCAAGAAATGTGGTTAGGAAAGGCTTGAAGATAGAGAGTAACGTAATTGGATTTGTATTTAAGACAATATTCACTTTCTAGTGTCTCATGTTTTTTGCCCAAGTCTGGCCTTAGACCACAATCCTCTTACCTATAGCCTACTGTGTAATTTGGATCATAGGTATGTGTCACTGTTGGCTGAGATGGGGGACCTTGAACTTTGATCTTTTTTGTCTTGCTTCCCAAGTAGCTGGGATTACAGGTGTGATCCACTGTAGCTGGCCTGTGATGTTGTGATGTTGTTGTGGTTGTTGTTGGTTTTCTTTCTTTCTTTCTTTTTGTCTGTCTTTCTTTCTAAGAAAGTCTGTCTGTCTATCTTTCTAAGAAACAGCCTTCTCTCTGGTCTGAGCTGTCTAGTATTCTTAGGAATTCTGTTAACAGTTGCTATCCCAAAGCCAGCTGTGTTCCATACCTGTTAATCTTACCTAGATCCAGCATATGTACATCTGAGAAGCTTTGGTTTGGATTTGCTCCTCCAACAATGAAGACTTTCCCTTTCTTGGCATCACCAACAGGGGGCAAATATGAGCAGCTATGGCCAACTCGGGGGCTGGGGCTGTCTCCAAGGGGAATCAAAGTGTACCTGTCAAAGGGAAGATATATTCAGAGGCTTGAGCAGGGAATAAATGTAGCTGTGTATTTTTCATCCCCCATAACATAGAAGCTTCAAATTGGACCCAACAAACCAACACTTCTATGATCAGTAACAGAACCTTCCATTTGCTTATCTTTGGCCTTTTGGTTTTGTCAATCTGATATCACAGTAATCATTTTATTTTTTGTGATATTATGGTTGGGACTCAAGGCCTTCCACTTGCTAGTAGAGCCACGCTACCACTTGAGACATTCTCCATTCCATCTTGTTTATTTTTCAGATATGGTCTGTGCTTTGCCAGCCTTAGACCATGGTTCTTCTACCTATGACCTTCCACATAACTTGGATCACACCACCACACAGTTTGAGGCTCAGGTAGGGTCTTGCTGAAATAGCTTGGAACTGCAATCCTCTCAATTTCCTCCCATGTAGCTGGGATTAGATGAGAGTGAGCTACTATGACTGAATCCATTTCAGAGCAATCTGTTGGGAATGTATGGGTCTAGTAAGGTTTACATCTGATAATAGAAAAACTGGCTGGGAAGGTGGCTTAGTGGTAGAATGCTTACAGAGTATGTATGAAGCCCTAGGGTCAATTCCTTAGAAAAAAACCAGGCACTGGTGGCTCATGCCACTAGCTACTCAGGAGGCTGAGGTCTGAGGACTGCGGTTCAAAGCCAGCTCAGGCAGGAAAGGCTGTGAGAATCTTTTTTTTTTTTTGGTCAGTCGTGGGGCTTGAACTCTGGGCCTGGGCGCTATCCCTGTGCTCTTCAGCTCAAGGCAAGCGCTCTACCACCATAGCACCACTTCCAGTTTTCTAGTGGTTTACTGGAGATAAGAGTCTCATGGACTTTTCTGCCCAGGCTGGCTTTGAACCGTGATCCTCAGATCTCAGCCTCGTCAGCAGCTAGGATTACAGGTGTGAGTCACTGGCTGTGAGAATCTTATCTCCAATTAAGCACCAGAAAACCAGACAGCTCAAGTGGTAGAGTGCTAGCCTTGAGCAAAAGAAGCTAAGGACAGTGCCCAGGTCCTGTGTTCAAGCCTCAGGACTGGCAAAAAAAAAAAAAAAAAAAAGTTGGTAATAGGGAAACAGACATCCAGAAATGTTCATTAGTGTGTCCTGGCACAGCACAATGGTTATAAACATGGTTTATGAAATTTGGAAAGAGCTAGCTCAATTCTCAGCTTGGATACTTTCTTTTTGCTATTATTGGTTGTGGGACTTGTTTTTTTTGTTTTTTTGTGTCCGGTCGTGGGACCTGAACTCTGGGCCTGGGCACTGTCCCTCAGCTCTTCAGCTCAGGGCTAGCGCTCTACTACTTGAGCCACAGCGCCACTTCCGGCTTTTTTCTTTTTGCTTATGTGGTACTGAGGAGTTGAATCCAGGGCCTCATGCATGCAGCCCAGGGGCTTGACTTCTAGTCCTGGGTGCTGTCCCTCAGCTCTTCAGCTCAAGACTAGCACTCTACCACTTGAGCCACAGCACCACTTCTGGTTTTCCAGCTATTTATTAGTGATAAGAGTCTTACAGACTTTTCTACTGGGGCTGGCTTTGAACTGCGATGATCAGATCTCAGCCTTCTGACTAGCTAGGATTGCAGGTGTGAGCCACTAGTGCCCAGCAAGCTTGGATATTTTCTAGATATGTGTCCTTTAGAAATGACTTAACTTTTCTAAATTTTAGTTTCCTTTTAAGTAAAACAAGCACAGAAATTGTTCTCATTTCCAATCCAAAGGAATGCCAGATTGGAGATACTTCTACTTGTCCTGGGGAAAAACTGACACCTCTCTGCAGCCTTTAGTGAGTCCCTCTTCAGCACTGATAACATTTCAGTACCATCACTTGCTTGGTCAAAAGCCCCGTTCACAGACACTGTTTACCTTTGCACTTCTAATGCCTACATAACAGCAGCACCTGTCAGGCCAATGTTAGTTGAATGAAGGGTTGGTTGAATAAACAGCCAAGAAACACTGAAGCCAGTTTAATCTAAATTCAATTCCCTAAAATCTTAAGAATGAATCACAGCTCAAGGGAAGACAGAGCATTGGAGCTGAGGATAACAGATGGTCAGTGCTTTACTCTTTTCGGTAAAGGGATTTTAATAAAATTAACATCTGCTCTGTGGTAATTATTGTGCTTTCCCTCACCCCCCATCTTTTCTCTGAAGACTTTCTCAGAAGTTTGAGTCTAATTCCTAGAAACTGCAGACAATTTCATCTTTATCCCTTCTTATTGGTGATCAAATATGTTAGTAAACTACTTTGAAGTGAAACAAAACCGTGTGTGTGTGTGTGTGTGTGTGTGTGTGTGTGTGTGTGTGTGTGTGTGTGTGTGTGTGTGTGTGTGTGTGTGTGTGTGTGTGTGTGTGTGTGTGTGTGTGTGTGTGTGTGTGTGTGTGTGTGTGTGTGTGTGTGTGTGTGTGTGTGTTAGCTTTCTTACAGACCATATTGCTTTCCTGGGCTTGTCTCCAGGCTCCAAGACTGGCAGCTGCGTCATGATGTCCTATGCATATGAAAGAAAGGCACTTTTTAGACATTTGTGATTATCTTCTTCCTGAAACACAGTACAAATCAGGCTACCTACTCTTTGATATTGTTTCTATTAGAATGTGGACACACTAGCATAAACAATACCCTGGGTTTGATCTCTAACATCAAGCAAGAAAAATTAAAACATTTCATGTTGAATATACCTATTTCTAAGGCCTGGCTAATCTGCATAAGTATCACAAATCATTTAATATATAATCTTTTTTTCCCTCTGTACTGGAATTGAATCAAGGCTTTGAATATGCTAGGTAAGTAATCTGCCATTTGTGCCACATCGGCCTGCCTTTTTATTTGTATTTTTGTTTATGAGATAGGGTCTTGATCATTTTGCCTAGGCTGATCTCAAACTCAGGAACCTCCTGTCTCTACCTTCTAAATACTCGTTTTTTTGTTTTGAGGAGACAGACAGGTGACTGGCAGGTGAACTCAGGACCTTGTGCACACTAGATGAGGTTTACTACCTCTCAGATGAGGCTACCTTCAGCCAATCCAACAAGATTATTTTTTAACACAATCCAACAGGATTATTTTTTTGGCTAACATTGTCTATCTGCCTGTGATTCTCATGGAGGAGGCATATATCAAAATTTCAGAGGCTATAGGTGTTTATGAAAGAATAAAACATTAAAAAATTTTTTTTCAGTCATGGGGCTTGAACTCTGGGCCTGGGCGCTGTCCCTCAGCTCTTCAGTTCAAGGCTAGAGCTCTACCACTTGAGTCATAGAGCCATTTCCAGTTTTCTGGTGGTTAATTGGAGATAAGAGTCTCATAGATGTTCTGACCCAGGCTGGCTTTGAACCTCGAGCCTCAGATCTCAGCCCCTGAGTAGCTAGGATTAAAGGTATGAGCCACTGATGCCTCACTAAGAATAAAACATTTTATGAAGCTGAGAAATACTGAACTCTAGGGCAAATTTTGGCCTTAGCATGGCACAGAAGTCCAGCCATTTGTTCCAGGAATCCACCTCTAAAATCTCTAGCAGTTTCTTTTGCAGACTATTTCATAACCCACAATCTGCATGGCTTCTCTTACCTTTTTCACATAAACCTGAAAACTCCTAGTCAATCTCCAAACCTTAGTTTAAATGTCCCTTCCTCAAAGAAACCTTCCTTGCTTCTTTTGCTTTCCTCTTAATTTCACTCCCCTAACTGACTTCCTTCTGCTCAGGACTCTGACAAGTATCTATTAAGTTACTATCACTGCAGTAATCATTCTGAATGTAATGATGTACTTTAAACTTCAAATCTAGTCTTCACATTCTAGAAACCAATTTTGTAGAGTGCTAGGCCTTATAATTCATTCTGAGAACCTAAAAATGGACCTGCCCTGAGTAGAAGTGAGTAAAGAATGAATTAAGGAAGAAATCAAAGGCTGAGAGCATGGTTCAAGTGGCAGTGTGTCAGCCTAATAAGTGCAAGGTGGGGGCCAACAAGAAACTCCAGTACCAACAAGAAAAGGGCAAACCCAATCTGTGGACCAGTTTCCAGGTATCCAGTGTGGTGGGATCCCAGCGGTGGATTTATAGCAGCCAATCCCATCAATGTGTCTTTCCCTGCCCCTCATCTCTGAATGGCTGGTTGTTTTCAGTCAATGTGCCTTGGTTGGGACTATGGGTGCACCCTTTCCACGTGATTCAGACCCACTCCCTAACCTGTGAGGCTGACCCTCTCCCATGATCAAGCTGCACCCCATTACCTACAGTGGCTTAGGTCAGTCATGGGAGGAGGCTCCCACCAGAGGGAGCTGGACTTAGCACTGGAACCTCAACTAGGGTTGGAAACATAGTGCAGCCAACCGCTGGGCTTCTGCTGAAACTGCCCCGCCTCTGTCCCCCGCATCCGCCTCTGCCCCACCCCAAGGGGCCTGCTAGTATGGGCATCTAGGGAACAACGCTTATGCTTATGGTTGCCAGGTGTTAGCCTGGCCCACTGGCTGTTTCTGGAGCACCCCTGCCTCTGGGGAGAAAAATAAGCCCGGCCACTTGGAAACTTACAAGAGAAATGCCTGGGGTTGAGCATTCACTGGGTGGCCCAAATTCCTTGGGCAGCTGTTGTATCCTACAGGGGCTCACAGTGACTGTGGTTGATAGAAAGGGCTTCTGAAGGGGTAGGAGCCGGGAGCGATCCAGCGTGTGCAGTCTTGAGGCCAGTTCAGGCTTTGGTATCTAATTAAACATCTGACTCATCCCAACAACTGCCATTTGTGGCTAGGCCAGGCTCCAAACATACCCTTGTGCTCCTGGGACTTACAGTCTGACAAAAGAGAGGAAACAAAAAAGATAACAAAACTAGGTATCACTGCAAAGAGTGCAAGAAATAAAATGTTTTTTGTTGTTGTTGTTTTTTTTTTTTTTTGGGGTCCGGTTGTGGGCCTGAACTCTGGGCCTGGGCGCTGTCCCTCAGCTCTTCAGCTCAAGGATAGCACTCTACCACTTGAGCCACAGCACCACTTCCGGCTTTTTTCTTTTTGCTTATGTGGTGCTGAGGAATCGAACCCAGGGCCTCATGCATGCAAGGGAAACGCTCTACCTCTGAGCCACCTTCCCAGCCCTGGTGAAATTTTCTGTTCTTGAGGAAGTTAACTTTTCTCTGGGTTTCAGAGTACTTCTTCTGTAAGACTAACCTTACAAAGTATATCATAGTTGTGTGTGTGCTGGAGCAGAGAATATAATGTCTACACTATGCTCAGCACCCTTTTACTGCCCATACCAGTACTACATCATTTGGGGCATGTTCACCTGAATTATCTCTGACCTATTTCCTAGCCATTGCTTTCCTGTGACTCCTAAAACAGAGATTGCTCACCTATGTCTCATTCAAAGAACCACAGGCTTTCAAATAATCATTATGTCCTAGGAACTGGAGGAACAGCTGGGCTAGCAACAACAGCTATGACAGCTTAGTGGGAAGGAAGACTTGGGTTCAAATCCAAGCCCCGTACTAACCATGAAATGCTGAAATTTGACAAGTTCATCATCCTCTCTAAATCATGACTTCTGTGTACAGAATGGGGAAATAATACCTGATGTGCAGAGAAAGCTACTGAGGATATACTAATATAGGTAAAAAGCCAACTCAAGGAAATTTTTTTTGCTGGTCCTGGGGCTTGAACTCAGGGCCTGGGCACTGTTCCTGAGTTTTTTTTTAGCTCAAGGCTAGCACTCTATCACTTGAGACACAACACCAGTTTATGTGATACTGAGGAATTGAACCCAGGACTTGATGTATGCTAGGCAAGCACTCTACCACTAAGCCACATTCCCAGCCCTCAGGGAAAACTTGCCACAGTGCCACTTCAGGTTTTCTGGTGATTAAAGAGTCTCACGGCTGGCTACAAGTGGCTCACGCCTGTAATCCTAGCTACTCAGGAGGCTGAGATCTGAGGATTGCAGTTCAAAACCGGTCAGGGAAGGAAAGTCTGTAAGAGTCTCTTTTTTTTTGGGGGGGGGGCAGTCATGGGGCCCTAACTCTGGGCCTGGGTGCTGTCCCTCAGTTCTTCAGTTCAAGGCTAGCGCTCTACCACTTGAGCCACAGCGCCACTTATGGCTTTTTTCCTTTTGCTTATGTGGTGCTGAGGAATCGAACCCAGGGCCTCATGCATGCAAGGCAAGCACTCTACCAACTGAGCCACCTTCCCAACCCCTGTAAGAGTCTTACCTCCAATAAACCACCAGAAAACTGGAAGAAGCTCTGTGGTTAAAGGGCACTAGCCTTGAACTGAAGAGCTGAGGGACAGTGCCCAGGCCCATAGTTCAAGCCCCACAACTGACAATGTTCTCCCCCACCCCACCCCCAAAAAAAAAAAGTTTCAGGGACTTTTCTGCCCAGGCTAGCTTTGAGCCATGATCCTCAGATCTCAGACTTCTGAGAAGCTAGGATTACTGGTGTGAGCCACCGGCACCAGGCAAGAAGTTTGTTTTTTTTTTTTTTTAATGTTAAGATTGAACCCAGAGACTTGTACAAACTAAGTAAGCATTCTACTATTATTGCTAATTTACCATTAAGCCACATTCCTAGCCTTAGCTTTTTTTTTTTTTTTTTGGGTCCAGTCGTGGGGCCTGAACTCTGGGCCTGGTCACTGTCCCTCAGCTCTTCAGCTCAAGGCTAGCACTCTACTGCTTGAGCCACAGTGCCACTTCTGGCTTTTCTTTTCTGCTTATGTGGTGCTGAGAAATCGAACCCAGGGCCTCATGCATGCAAGGCAAGCGCTCTACCACTGAGCCACCTTCCCAGCCCGCCTTAGCTTTTATTTTAGAGACAGTTTCACTATGTACTACAGGCTGGCCTTGAACTCATTATCCCACTGCCTCAGCTTTCCCAGTGCTGAGATTATGTATGCACCATGCATTCATTACCACGTCTGGTTCACTGTAGTCCAATGGGATTAGAAATAGAGATTAGTGGTAGAGTGCTTGTCAGGCCTGGGGAAGACCAAGCGTTTGTTACCTGATACCATTAAACACAAATATTTAGGCCATTGTCTCAAGAATACACTTTAGAGGGGCTGGGAAGGTGACTCAGTGGTAGAGCGCTTGCCTTGCATACATGAGGCCCTGGGTTCGATTCCTCAGCACCACATAAGCAAAAAGAAAAAAGCCGGAAGTGGCGCTATGGCTCAAGTAGTAGAGTGCTAGCCTTGAGCTGAAGAGCTGAGGGACAGCACCCAGGCCCAGAGTTCAGGCCCCACAACCAGACCCCCCCAAAAAAATACACTTTAGAGTAAGTATTAAGTCCTTAGAGATTCAATTATTATTATTTTTTGCCAGTTCTGGGGCTTGAACTCTGGACCTGGGCACTGTCCCTCAGCTCTTCAACTCAAGGCCAGCGCTCTACCACTTGAGCCACAGCGCCACTTCTTCGTATGTGGTGCTGAGGAATCAAACTCAGGGCCTCATACATGTGAGGCAAGCACTCTACCACTGAGCCACCTTCCCAGCCTAAAGTTTTATTTTTATTATTTATTTATTTTTTTGGTAGGTTGTGTGGCTTGAACTCTGGGCTTGGACGCTGTCCCCATGCTCTTCAGCTCAAGGCAAGCACTCTACCACTTGAGCCACAGCGCCACTTCCGGTTTTCTAGTGGTTTATTGGAGCTAAGAGTCTCATGGACTTCCCAGCCTGGGCTGGCTTTGAACGGAGATCCTCAGATCTCAGCCTCCTAAGTAGCTAGCATTACAGGTGTTAGCCACCGGTGCCTGGCCTGAAGTTTTATTTTTATTTATTTATCTTTTGGTCGGTTGTGAGGCTTGAACTCTGGGCTTGAGTGCTGCACCTCAGCTTTTCAGCTCAAGGCTAGTGCTCTACCACTTGAGCCACAGCGCCACTTCCAGCTTTTTCTGCTTATGTGGTGCTGAAGAATGGAACGCAGAGCCTCATGCATGCAAAGCAATCACTCTACCACTGACCCACCTTCCCAGCCCCTCTGCTGAGCTTTTTCCTTAGCAGGTATCACTTCCTATTATTCTATAAGTCATTTATTGTTTGTCTTCTATCGTCCCTAGCATATAAATTACAGATTGAGAATAGAGAAGGTTCTGTATTGTGTTGACTGAATATACAAAATGCCTACAATGGTAGCTGAGATATAAGTATTGGTCAGTAGACAATTGTAAAAATGAACTATTAAGGCTCAAATAGAGTGCTAGCCTTTAGTAAAAGAAGCCTAGGGACAGTCCTCAGGTCCTGAGTTCAAGCTCCAGGACTGGTAAAATAAATAAATAAATTAATTAATTAAAATAAAACTAGTATTAAAGGTATACTGAGTGCCAGATCCTTTTTTTTTTTTTTTTTTTTTTGAGGAGGGATGTTACTTGGTCTTAAACTCAGGGACTGGACACTATCTGTCTGCCTGTCCCTTACCTTTTTTTACTGAAGGTTAGTGCTCTATCACTTGAGCCACAGCTCCATTTCCTACTTTTTTGGAGATAAGTATCTCATGGACCTACCTACTTGAAGTTGGCTTCAAAATGCAATCCTCAGTCCTCAGCCTCCTAAGTTGCTAAGTTTATAGGCATGAACCACTGGCACCAGGTCCCAGGTACTGTTTTTAGCACTGGGACTACAACAAAAAGCTCCCCGCCCTGGAACTCAAGTGAAAGTATCCTTAAGTCTGTAACCTGTTTTCCAATCTTGGCTCCACTGTCAGTTGCCTGTGGGATTTGGGGCAAATCATTTAATGAGTCTAAGCTTTCCAATCCTATCAATCGTTAGAAAGATAAAATGGGAGGGAAAAGCAATATTTGTATAGCATTTAGCATAAGTCTCAACATTTTCTTTCCTTCTTTCCTGAGGACTGGAGGTCTGACTTGGGTGCCGCAGGTCTAGGCAGGACCTTCACAAGGCCTTGGAAGGTACTTCCCAGGTAAGGCTGCAACAGCCAGGCTTACCCAATTTTTTATCTGAAGATGTTGAGTGCTTCACAGGGTCGGAATAAGAAACCAGGGAATGTTCAGTTTCCCAAATCGCCGTTTTCTCTCGGAAATGCGTCGCCAGGTTCCCCCGAAATGAATCTGGAGGAAAAAAGGTGAAATAAAAACCAAAATAAAAATAAGAGTAGTCAGCCGTAGCTGAGAACTACAAGTCCCAGCATTCCTCGAGACCAACAATTACGGGTCCCAGTTAGTTTTGTAGGCCTGAACGACTGGGGCTCTCTCTCGGCCGGTACCCCGGGTTCAGCGAAGAGGGCCTAACGCGTCGGGAAGTTTCCGGGGAGAAGCAGGTCAGGCTCCGACGTCACTACGCAGACGCCACTCACGATCCGGAAGTGACGCAGCCGGAGTTCCGGCTTCGGCCTCCGCCGCTGCCTCCGCCAGTACTGCCGCCGCTGCCGCCGCCGCCGCCGCTACCGCCGCTTGTTGTTCCTAAAATGGCGCCTCTGGATCTGGACAAGTATGTGGAAATAGCGCGGCTGTGCAAGTACCTTCCAGAGAACGACCTGAAGGTAAGGCCGGCCTGTTGGAGCAGAGCTTGCGGGCAAACCCCTTCCGGCTGTGGGGTGCCCGCCGGCCCGCCCTTCTCTCGCTGGGGGACCCCTGCCGGGTCTCTGGTCCGCTCGTAGTGTGGGGCCCTCGGCGGTGCCTGGCGATCCAGCACAACCTGGCAAGGTGCGGGGCGCCGGGAGAGTCCGAGCTCCGCGACTGCTGTCCGGGCTCTCTGAGCCGCGACCCCTAAAGGGGTGTCACGGCCTCTGGTCCCCCGGGTCGCCCCTCCTGGCCTTTGAGATGTCCCAGGACTCGGAGCCCTGGCAGCCGTGCCTACCAGACTTGTGTGCTCGATCTCCATCCCGGGTCCCCCGAAGTCGGAGCCGAGCCCCGGCGGGCGGTGCTCTCAGGATGGGTCGCGCCCACTGGAGGTGACAGCAGCGCAGCCTGCCCGGCGTCTGACAGGAGGTGCGGGGTCGGCTCTAGGGACGCAGCTCCTGTGTGTTTAGGCCCTGCCCGGAGAAAGGGGGAGGCGTGGGCTCGGTCGGGCTGGCACCGATCGGAAAGAATGGCAGGTCGCCCCTCTTCCCTTTGCACTCCTCCGAATTGATTTTTAGTGATGTTAGTATTCTGCTAATTCAGTTGTCACTCCCGATTCTAGGCGCGTGCTTGAGCTAATTTAAGTGTATCAAGTCGGCAGGCGGCAAGACGTACCAGAAGTACAGTTACTTTGGCGTCCTTTAGGTTGTACTCCGTATAAACTCAACTCATGGTTTCATTTCCTTGGTTCTCCAAAGGAAGTGACAGTCCTTGCTCTGCTGATTCCACTCAAGAGTGAATGTGTGGATGAAGGATTGAATGTCTGTAAAAGAAATGAGCCTAAAAAGCATACAACTTTTTGCAGGGTTTCAGTGCATAGCTTCCTAGCGGGGTTTATCCACTGCTGCTAGTGTCTGCTTTGTCCCGTTAACTTTGATTTACTGTTGTGGTTAGGCGTATATCAACAGTTGTTGATAATTTGAATTCTTTATTTATGCTTTAAACTATGAGTTTAAAATCACTTGTCTAAGAAAAAAAATATCCTTGCCTGTGACTAAATTTCTCTTAAGGCTTTACCCTCTGAATTTTTAAACTCTCCTTTGGTTCAGGAAGTTGGTATTTAAGGTCAGTCAGCAAGTATGCAAAATGTTTAAAACCACTTGTGCCCATGTGAATGTAACTGGATTGTATTTGCATGTTAATTATATGCATTATATGATTGGAGGGTCATTTCCTCATTTTAATAGGATAATTTAAATAAGGACAAACCGTTTATTAGAAGTAATGCAGCATATTTGTTCATCCGAGTCAGTCCTTAGGTTTGTGTCTTCTTTCTGCAATATGTGCTTTTTGGGAAACAATACAACTAACCTTGAAATTCATGGAAAACTAACCAGACTTCTTGCTAATTAACAATTAGCATGGAAAATTCCATAGGTGTAGTCAATTATTGTATGTTAATCAATGAGTTGATGTGGGACTTTCTTTTGAGTTTGAGTGAAGTTGTTTTATGCTTTATATTTATAATTAATATAAAATATTGCATATTAGGAGAATGTGCTTGATAATTAATTTGGCATTGGTCACTGAAGTGATATGAAAAATAATTAGAGGAATTTTCTACACTTTTAGTTTGACAAACACTACTTTTTTTCACCTTAAAGAAATATAGTTATTAAAGCACCTTAAAGAAATAGAGTTATTAGCCGGGCGCTGGTGGCTCACGCCTGTAATCCTAGCTACTCAGGAGGCTGAGATCTGAGGATCGCGGTTCAAAGCCAGCCCGGGCAGGAGAGACCGTGAGACTCCTATCTCCAATAAACCACCAGAAAACCGGAAGTGGCGCTGTAGCTCAAGTGGTAGAGCGCTTGCCTTGAGCTGAAGAGCTGAGGGACAGAGCCCAGGCCCAGAGTTCAAGCCCCACGACTGACAAAAAAAAAAAAAAAGAAATAGAGTTATTAAAGCACATTCTTTTTTGTTGAAATATAGTTGGACTATATGTAGCTTCTATATTTCTCAGTAAACCCCCCACTCATATACACATATTCTTTTGGCTCACTATTAAGAGCATAATTTTGGATTTTTCTCTGTAAATATGGTTTTTTGTTATGTGTGTGTTTTTTTATTCTGTCCTGGAAATGTTTTTTATCAGATTAATTTGCTGTGCTGCAAGTCTCTAGTGTATTTAAAGAAATTTAATTTTGTTTCTGTTTCTTGGCATGTAGTGCAAACTAAAAATAGGCAGTCCAAGGAAGTATTCCAGGAGTACCTTTTCTGAGGCTTTAAAGCCAAAATAGAAGATTCTACAGGAGGAAGAAAAGAAATAACTGGGGCTTTCTAATGAACATGGAAAAGATTTGCTTTGGTAGAAAAGAAGGCAGAGGAGTTAAAAAAAAAAAAAGAAAAGAAGGCAGAAAGCCACCTGTGTTTTAATTTGATTAAATCAAAATATCTGCATAGTTCTAGATCTAATTACAATTTCCTTTTGAGAGGGCACACTGGGGCTTGAACTCAGGGTGTGATCATTGCTAGGCAGGTGCTCTACCACTTGAGCTATACCTATCACGTCTTTGTGCTTTGGTTATTTTTGAGGGAGGGTCTGGATTTATTCCCAGGCCACCTTGAACTGTGGTCCTCCTACTTGTGCTTCCCCTTGGTACTAGGGATGACTGGAGTACAGCCACTGGGCCTAGCCTAACTGTTGGTTGAGATGGAATCTCACCCTAGCTGACATCACCCTAGCTGATGTCAAACTTATTCCCCATCTCTTCCTCCCAAGTAGCTGACATTACTGATCTGAGCCACTGTGCCATCTTTTGAACCTATTTTTTGTTGTTGTTTTTGGTCGTAGGGCTTAAACTCTGGGACTGGGTGCTGTCCCTCAACTCTTCAGCTCAAGGCTAGCTTTCTACCACTTGAGCCACAGCACCACTTCCGGTTTTCTGGTTGTTAATTGGAGATGGACGTTCTTGCCTGGCCTGGTTTTGAACTGTGATCCTCAGATATCAGCCTCCTGAGTAGCTAGGAATACAGACATGAGCTATCAGCACTGGCTTCGAACTTTTTTTTTTTACCCTTCCTGACATAGTTGGGATGATAGGCACAAGCAACCACACACAGCTTTTTCTGCTAGGATAGTGGTCTCATGAACACTTGCCTTGGCTAGCCCTGAACCTTCTTTTAGCTTGGGTTACAGATGGGAGCCACTAGTATTCTGGCTTAATTACAGTTTCTACTAGAACTAGATCAAATATGCCAAACTTTTTTTTTTTTTTTGGTCGGTCATGAGGCTTGAACTCTGGACTCCCTGGGCGCTCTTCCTGCACTCTTCAGCTCAAGGTGAACGCTCTACCGCTTGAGCTACAGCACCACTTCCGGTTTTCTAGTGGTTTATTGGAGATAAGAGTCTCACAGCCTTTCCTGCCCGGGCTGGTTTTGAACAGCGATCCTCAGATCTCAGCCTCCTGAGTAGCTAGGATTACAGGTGTGAGCCACCGGCGCCTGGCTTGCCAAACTGTTTTGAAGGAATAAGACTAAAATATATAAAACTCAAATACAGAATGTAACCTTCCTTACATAGAGCTCATGTGATTCTCATCTATAAGAAGGATTTCAGGAGCTGGGAAGGTGGCTCAGTAGTAGAGCGCTTGCCTTGCATGCCTGAGGCCCTGGGTTCAATTCCTCAGCATCACATAAGCAAAAAGAAAAAAACCGGAAGTGGCACTGTGGCTCAAGAGGTAGAGTGCTAGCTTTGAGCTGAAGAGCTGAGGGACAGTGTCCAGGCCCAGAGTTCAGGCCCCACGACCAGACCCCCCCACCAAAAAAAAAAAAAAAAAAAAAAGGATTTCAGGAATACTAGAAAAGGCACAGGTTTCATACCTGGATGATAAGAGGCAAGTTAGCTGAATACTTAAAACTTAAAAAATTTAGAGGTAAAGAGGTTTTATACCTAATTTGGAGGTTGTGTGTGTATCTTGGACAGTTTTTTTTTTCTTTTGACAAGTGTGTAACTCAAGCTTGTGTCAAACTGAGATCTTCTTGCCTCAGCCTCTCCAGTGCTGGGATTACATATGTGCACCATATTGGATAGTGTCCCCAGTGCTGAATTACACATGTGTTTTTAGTTTTTACTTTTTTTTTTTTTTTTTTTTGGTCCATTGTGGAGCTTGAACTCTGGGCCTGGGAGCTTTCTCTGCGCTCTTCAGCTCAAGGCGAATGCTCTACTGCTTGAGCCATAGCACCACTTCTGCTTTTCTAGTGGTTTTTATTGGAGATAAGAGTCTCACTGACATTCCTGCCCAGGCTGGCTTTGAACCGTGATCCTCAGATCTCAGCCTCCTGAGTAGCTAGGATTACAGGCATGAGCCACTGGCGCCCGGCTCTAGTTTTACTTTTTGAGACATCTCTCATTTTATAGCATAGGCTGGCCTGGAACCTGAAACTGGTGATGTTCTTTTAGTCTCTGATGCTTGGATTTTGGACTTTTTTTTTTTTTGGTGGGAGTTCTAGGGCTTGAATTTAGGGCCTTGGCATTGTCCCAGAGCTTTTGTGCTAAAAGCTAGTGCTCTACCACTCTGAGCTACAGCATAATTTCTGGCTTTTTGGTAGTTAATTGGAAATAAGAGTCTCCAGACTTTCCTGTCTAGGCTGGCTTTGAACCAGGATCCTCAGATCTCAGCCTCCTGAATAGTTAAGATTACTGGCATGAACCACCAATGCCTGGCTGGACTTGTAAAAAGTGACATGAAAATACAGAAATTGC